TTTCTTGACAAATAAGTTGAACAGGTATCTTGACAAATAAGTTAAATAGGTATCTTGACAAATAAGTTGAACATGTATCTTGACAAATAAGTTGATGTATCTTGACAAATAAGTTGAACATGTATCTTGACAAAAAATGCAAGCGCTAACCACTCACCCCCCCCCCTTTTTTTATGACAGAGGTGGTCCTCATTGATTACATTAAATGAATTTGATTGGCATAATCAATTTCTACGACCCCTAAAGAAATTTTAGACTGTATATAAATAACCTATTGTTTTTCAGAATATCAATTTTAATTGGTCACGTATGAATGTCATCCGCCTTGTTTGAATCATTTCTTTGTTTGTTTCTCACTTGTATAATCTAGTTCTAGATCTAGTATTCTAGTATATAATTCAATGCATCTTTACTTTTACTTTTTCTTGGCACAGACATTCCATTTTTTTGGGGATTCTCCTTGCGCTCACATGGCTTTCAATCAAGTGGCGGGAGGATTTGGTATTTATCACAAGTAGGTTATACATCTAATAAAACTTTATATGCAATTTGATTTATTGTTATTAATATTATTAATATTATAGTTTTGTGGTGCATATCAATGGGTGACATAGTCCCCTCTTACTGGTCAGGGAGTGAGTTAGTTACACCGTTTTAAGTATTTAACAAATGTAGAATTACAGATGAGGTTACATTTACTTATACATAGCGTTGTTGGGTGCCGGGGAAGTTCCGGGTTCAACCTCCCCCCGCCCGGAAATAGTTTACACACTGCCACTGGCCTGTAGATTTGAGTTTGATTCTTGGAACATTTTTAGGCGTTCTCTTGCTCATCAATTTTTCAAGGGTTCTCTCCCTCTACTCTGTAAATACAGAACGAGACGTTGAAAACTATAAAAGTTTCAATATAAGTGTTAAAGCAGCTTATTCATTGTCCGTAGCCGTGTGGGGGGCGGGGTTCATCCGGGAATGGTTTTTTTTTTTCTTTAATTTATTTTATTGGAAGGGAGACTTTAATGTTAAAGGTTGTTCGTGGTAAAATACTTTCTTCTACTATGCTAGTAACCTAAGGAGCGCGGCTGGCGTGGCTGCTTATACACAGCTCCTCGTTTGTTCTTTATATTTATATATATATAAATTCTAGTTTATGCACGCGTGTGAAAGGAACCCTTTTATTTCTTCTACACGCAAAACGCACATATGGCATAGATAAAAGCCGCTTGTGGTCAAGATGACTAGTCCTGACTTTTTCTCAATGTCTAACCTAGTCTTGTTTATGTTATCAACAGGGACTGTTTGAAATGGAAATAGTGCATTCTTGAATGTTTCCGATTTTTCAAGATCCCACAGCCCCTACCTCCCCCTCCCACCCACACCATTACGCCAGCTTTGCAATTAAAGTATTTGAATCCCCTAATACTTCATTAACAGAACTTAAACCCAAGACTTCTGTCATGCAAAGTACCACTTAAACATTGGAGTGAATAGTTCGTTAGTCTCACAGAATTTAAGTTATTCAATTGAATTTTAAAATGACTAGAAACGACGTCATTTCCTTTTTCATCCTCAGTGAACTTCTGACCAAGAGAGCTATACTTGACCCTTGGTACGCATGCGCACTGAAAGCAGAATGCACGTGCCCGGTTAATCAGCGCCAAGTGCAAAGATGCCCTTACCCTTACTCGACCAAGAAAATAGGACTGTGCCAACGAAATGATCAGTCCTCCATGACACTTATATTGTCCAAACTATTTCGGCAAAAATATTTTGATTTTGTTATCAATTTGAATCGTTTCAACCCCAAAAGTAAGATTCCAGCTTTTTACAATTACTTTGAGGAAATAGAAAATAAAACCAAAGTCAATACAAATTAACTATTGAGAAATGCTCGTTGTTTTTGTATTATTATTATTATTGACATTAAATACATGTATGGTCGAGCTGTTAACCAGTGATGTCCAAACCAGAGGGGGCCTTAGCAGTGCCTGGTGCTCTGGGCCGGAGGATATTCCAGCTACCCGTCGCCTCAGCGTGGCGCCTCCGTGGAAACGTCTAGGGGTGGACCTAGATAGGCTAAGAACGAGTAGCGAACCAGGCCTTCTGGCAGGTCTCCCTGGGTGAGCTTTTGTTTTTTTTTTTATCTCACTCGGGGTGGGGATGGAACAAGTAACCTGCAACCCAGTCCAAAAAGTCCGCCACGCCGTTCCACAAAAGGTGTCGTCATCAGTTCCGGATTGCTGGATTGGCGACACTCGCACGGAACAGTGGCGGTTACATTATAGGAATATGAGACAAGCTCCCCGCAGTTTGCACTGTTTACGGCCACTTATAGCGAGTGGACCCGTGCCGGGGACGGTGCGCTGTGTACACGGCACGGCCCGGTTTTGTCCAGTCAGGAAACTGATATGGCCGTTTACCGTTGGGAGCCCTCAGACAGGACAGGGGTGAAGAGCTCCATGTCCAGGCCTGGTGGTTGGATAAAAGCCTTTCTAACCACCAACGGGATAATGGCGCCTACGGCGCCGATTCCCTACTGGACTTCATCGAAGGTGCTCTGGGCGGTATAAATTTTAGAAAACTAAATCATTCCTAAAAGTCTAGCATTAGTAAGAAAGATGTAGAGTTGTTTTTTTTTAGTGGGTTTTTTTTTTTTCTTTTGAGAAAGAGATAGAGTGCAAGGAATGGTGCTTTGTAACAAAGTCAAACAAAAAAAAATAACCCTAATAGCGTTTAAAAGATTAATCTGGATCTATTGTCATTTCGCTGCATTCAAAAGGGGGTGAGATAAACTATTAAAATTAATAAAACCAAATGGATATTTCTTTTTATTTAGAGAACAAAATACCAAAATACATGTTGAAAGAAGAACGGGAATGAGGCATTCAATCCTGAAAAGGCAGATAAGTTAAGGTGCTACTAAATTAACGGGCCCAAATATTAGTGCGTGTACATTCTGGGGAAGCATGATAAAGCAGGCCTTTCTAAATCAAGTCAAAAGTCTAGGTCGGAGAAATTACGATGCGATGGTTAGAAAAACAAAATAAAATGGGCGGGGGGGGGGGGGGGGGTACCAGAGAGAGAAACAGAGAGACAGACACAGAAGGAAAGAGAGAGAAGGCCGTAAAATTTCATTGTAAGATACTCTAATTCACTGGCTATTAAAGCTTATTTTGAGTGTAATTGGATCAATTAGTTTGGATCAGTCATGTAATTAATGTGTGTCATGCTTTTAGCTTTCTCAATGCGATAGCATCCTATCGCTTGTCTTTACCAGTTGAAAAAAAAAAGGTGGGAGGGGTATCTGGGTAAATGTCACACTGTGATCGCTTTTAAAATGTATTTTTTTTTAAGTTAAGTTGTAAAACTTCAAGATCGATGGATCAAGTCTCCTTAAGATAAGATAATTTTATTGATCCAATCAAATGGAAATTCAGTTTACTACAATTGACAACCTCAGCGTAACTACTTTACAAAAACAATATAGATGCAAATACGAACAACATTCACACACGAAACACATACACACTCACAACCAGCACTTTATGAGTTTGACTTCTATGAGGACTAATTCAATTTATACCACCATATATGTCAATTACTATTTCTCTCCCTTGTTCGATACCAAACGAAATAATTAATTATCAATAGTTAATTAACTAGTTTTTATTATTATTATTTTTGTTTTGTCAGGTAGAAAAATTTTAAAAAAAGTTCCCCTTTCAGACCTTGTGGTCTATAAAGCAGAAGATGTAAAAGTCATCTGTTTCTGTGGCGTACGGTTAGCGAGGGTGTCATGTGGCCAGCACAACGACCAACCGCCTTTACTTTTCCCCAAATAATGCCAGGCACCCATAAGAGCTAGGTGGATTCAGGGGCGCCCAAAGATTCGAAAAAAAAAGACAGGGACCCAGGTTCGGAAGCCAAGTGCTTTACCCCTCGGCTTACACTCGTGCATTTTAATTAAACTTTAACTCTACTAAGTCATTGGTCTTCCTGGTTTCGTGACTTAATTGCACTAGGTACACTGACTGTACGAATTAGTCCTAGCATACGGAAAAAGAAATATGCCTTTATCTTTGCGCTTTTGAGATCATCTCCCTTTTAGTATGTAATGTTCTTACTGCTGTAGGTTCTCATTAAAATCAAACTTCAATTAAAATAGCTCAAATAGTTTGAAAACTTCAAAGTCACAGTGTGTCATCAAAAAAATTATGAAACTTTTCTAAATTTAAAAAAAAATGTAAATTTGATATAAAAAAACGAATCAAATACTTGTATACACACGTTCCTGTACTTATGCATACATTAAAGTTAATGAAATGAATAGTGAGTGAAAATGTAATTAAGAGTCATTCTCTGATACTGCCAGGGTCAAGCTTCGTTAGACTTGGAGGAAAACAAAATTCACTGTAGTCCCTTTAGTCCGCTGAGGATTGTCAGGTGATGTGGCAGGTTTGCACCGGTTCCACCCTCTGACAGAGCATATTGTTAGGGATGTTTAGGGGCTTGAATGTGTCAATGAGGTCATCTATCACTATCCCTGTAGCTGGTTTAACAAAAGGGTGTAGTGTTATTTTAGTACATTTCCAGAATTATTATATTATTGTTGGTATTATTGTAATGATAATGTAGAATGAATAATGAGAAGTGAATATTGATACTGACTACTGGGAAGACACAGCCCAGGACCGTACTATGTGGAGAGAGATAGTGACCAAGTAAGCCATGGACAGGAGATGTGTTTGTTTGCACTAAACTTTCAAAAGTCTCACAAACCTTGCAGAACAAACTTTTTCCCTTTTAAACATTTTCAAAATACAACAGAGACAAAAAGAAACAATGTTGGCACAGAGATAAAACAAACAACAAATAAACAGTTACATAGACCTCTCAATGTTGATAATAAATGTAAATAGCAAATAGTGTGTGGATGTTTATATATATATATATATATATATATATATATATATATATATATATATATATATATATATATATATATATATATATATATATATATATATATTATTTAGGCTGAATCCTATAATACAGTCTAAAGCTGTTAATTGGACAAGCTGGTTATTAGGACCAAAACAATTGTGCCCTGATGTAGTCCAATTAAACAGATTTGACATATATATATTTAAAAAAAAACTTTTTGCAATGGTTTCCTAACAAAAAGAATTGTAACATTAACATGCTTGAAATTAATGTGGAGAGAAAGAAAATGAAGAAACTTATTTAAAAAACTTTAAATGTTGTTCATGATTCTCTTGGGTTGGAATTTTTTTTTAATTTAAATGTCCAAATATCACAGTTTGTTGTTTTTTTATAGTGCACAATAACAAAAGTTAAAGACTTATGCTAGAAAACATTTACGCAGGCAAAGAGTTAAATGAGTAGGTCAAAAAGAAAAAAATCATAATTAAAAAACTAAAAGGAAATATTACCAAATCCATCCTATTTGTCACATTAATTGGTTAGTGCAAGGAGGCAGGCCAATGATATCTGAAAATGATATGGAAGTCTGGGAAACTGATTTCAAGCAGAAGTAAAAGGATATGATAAAGATTATCTTGTTGTTTATGGGTTTGGGTTATCTAGAAATAAGGGCAGACTTCCATAACAACAATCAAATGTACAGATGATATAATATTAACATTAAGTTTCTATAGACTTATGCATACATTAAAAATCTCTCATCAACATGAAAAGTAAATAAACATGAATAAGTTTGCTTTTGAAAGAACAAGAGTCATTCATACAATTAAAAACTTACACAACTCTTTCTTAACTCTTTCAGTGACAATTATTTTGAGTTAAATTTGAATTAAATTGAGTTTTCTAGAATAAACAAAAATCTACAAGGGCAGTAGAGTTACTAGAACTAAAGTAACCTTTTTATTTTATTTCATTATATAATTTAAACATATATTTTATTTTAAAGAAAATTGAATTGGCTACAAAAGTGAAATATAATAAATTAGTCAACAAAATATTTTTAAAGTTAAATTTAAACTTGGCATTGAAAAAGGAAATAGATAGAAAAAAATTCATTAAAAAAATCAATCTAATAAAAGATTTAATCTTTTAATTATACATTTAAATAATGAAAAAAATCACAAAATTTAATTTCAATTAAAATTTCATAAAAGATAAACAAATACACTAAGAAATTATATTATTTACAATTTTCAGGCTTGCGATTCAAACTAAAAAAAGAAGAAACACTTACACAAGGTTGTTTTTTTTTTAAACATATTGTCCCTGCATCCATTTTACAATCAAAACAAACAAATCTCTCTCACATCCAGATAAATGTAAAAAAAAGAGAAATTAATCATGTAACATTTAAAAGATACTGAAATAAATATTATAAACCAAGTTACTTGCTGACAGTAACGCTGCATTCACCAGCACTAGCAAAGTTAACTCCCTCAGAGTAACCCTGCACTAAAATAGTTATATATATATATATGTTGCTATGGATATTTTCAATCTCGTTTATGCTATTTGGTATTTGCTAAATTTATTAGCAGATAGCACTGAAATGGATGGATATTTTTTAGAAATGACAGGAATATTTTTAGAGAGTAAATATTTGGAATAGCTTCCTATGTGACCATATGCAATATCTCAAAAAAGAAAAAAGAAAGAAATGTTTGTTTTAGAAAAAAGTAAATCCCAATATGTGCTATTCAAATAATCTACTGCCAAATATAGAGCAGCAACTGGGAAATAGGAAGCAGTTGACTGTGACTGACTCTAAGTCTTTCTTGATAATAACCAAAAAAAAAAGAAAAAGAAACCTATAAAAAGACAATGTAGTATAAGAAAAAATTAAAACTAGCATTTTAAAAATTGAGTATTAATATATATAAATATATTCATAACTACTTCCTGCAATACAATACACAAAATATATTTTTAAAAATTAAATTAACTAACATAATAATTATGTACAGTTGAATGAATTATCAATCAGCCAAAATGAAATAGATTTTTTTTAAATGTGCACTGGGTTCTGCAAGACAGAGATTTGATAATTTGATTGCTACAATTTCTGTACGGGTTACGTTTTATTTTTATAACAAATGTTTACTATTTAGTTGTGCATAAAATGTTATAACTTTTGATTATGTAACCTAATCAATGAAAATAATTTGCCTATCAAAGGTGCTAACTAATACATCCCATCTAGCATGTAGTAAAGTAGGTTTACTAAAAAAAGGTTTTGCTGGTTTTTATTTTTGGTTTTGTCTGCACGCAGTGATTCTATTGTTTGTATTGCTAAATGTTCTCCCACATCAAGAACTAAATACTTACAGGTTTTTATTCCAACATGAAATGTATATGTGCAGCCATTCAAGTCTATAAACATCTTTGCTGCTTGTTCAACTAAGTCTTTTCAAGACAGAGTAATAATTTCAATCCATCAAAAACACACTCAACAAACAACATATTTTGGCCACTGTAGAAAGGCAAATACTTTAAATATATATATAAAATAATTTTTTCCATAATGTAAGACTATTTTATTGAAACAACAACAAAAAACCTGGGGAAAAATAGAATTAAAAACTATGAGTATATAAGAGGATCAATGTTAAAATCAATTATATTTATGTAGATATCACAGCATTGAAGTAGAAATAGATATATTATGAAAATAACATTATAAATAGTATATATTTTAATAGCCTAAGTGTATCACTGTTCAAAAAGCTTCCGCATGATAAAAACAAAAAGAAATTGTTATAGCCAAGTTCATTAGGTCAAATAACTCAAAATACTAACAAGTGTTGTTTTTGTTTTTTTTATTTTAGACCTAGAATTTATTGAAATCTTATTTTTAATAAAATGTATAACCTTTTTATAACTAATTAATTCCCTTAAATTAATTAATTTCTTCTTCTGCAACTAGAGAAGATTATGTTCAGGTTTATTAACTTTACTGTTTTACAGTTTTATTATGTAGTTTTAGAGTTTTACTTTGTAAAAGCTTTACATTTCTACTTTGTAGCTTTACAGTTTTACTTTCCTGCTTTACATTTTTTTATTAATAACATAAAAAATAAAGACATGTTTTTGTAATGATATAACACACAGTTGGGGTTTTGTTTTTTTTTTTTAACATGTGTCGTGTCCGTCTAACAATAAAGTCCCGTCACTCTATGCTGAAAATGTTAAGATTATTCTTCCTGAAGTCTGCTTCTTTTTGTCCTTCTCTCTTTCAGCTTCTCCTGGAGACCTTGCTCTATCCTTGCTTTATTGGTTTCCTGGGCTTTCTCAATCTGTGCCATTTCTTTCTCATGTTGCTTTTTCAGCTGCTCAATGTTACCTGTAAATTTGATTGAATCAAAATGTAAGTCAGAGGTTGTGAATGTTTTAAGAATCTATATTACTTTTTCTTGAATATTGTATGAGTGTATGTTACTTTTTGTTTCTAAGTCCAGGTCTCTCAGTCTAGACTCTAGAAAATGTATGGATATTGGCATGAGAGTGTTTGTTGTGGTTAGATTGTTGCAATGAAGGATAATATCAGATAGCACATAGGCCAGTTACTATTGTTGACTGTAAATGTTAATGTTTTATTTTATTCTGGTTCAAGTTGAACCACTTTTTTCTTCATTGTTATGGTCATGTTGGATAAAATTGAATCATAATTATTATGCTTATCGATCATTATAATATTCTTAAACAGCTTTAGGAAGAAAATTAGCTTTGTATTGGGAGGAGGGAGGGTCTTGACTTGGAAACAAATACACAAAAAATTATGTTTTTTATTGGCTGGTTGTTCAGATAATATTTGAGACAATGTAAAGGTAAAGCTGCACAAAATACATTACTATCTGAGATGTGTGAAAAAGAAACAAATTATTTTTTAAAAAAGACAGGTCTCAGGGTAGTACTATCCCCTCCACCCCCCTTCCATATCACAAAGACTAGCAATTCAAAGGAAAACCTCAAGAAAGCAATAGACTGAGTGAGCTTGGGAAAATCAGTAAAGAGGAAAAACTGAAAAGTCTAATAATAGATCATACAGAGCAGGCTACTTTGAAAAGAGAATCCAAAAGGACATGTATTAAGAGTGATGATGAAGAAAATTGTTCAATTAAATAGTAAGGATGCTTCACTTGTTTCTGTTTCTAATTTCAGGAAAGATGATGAATGTAAACCTTTGAGAAGCAAAGAAAACTTTTATAAGAAAATTGACTTAATTTACCCTACTTAGTATGATTTAACAATTTCAAATGTTTAGCCAAGCCCAAACCTCCTGCAGGACAGCAGGGGATGACAGTGGTAACAAATTGAGTCCCTGACAGATGCCATACATGTTTAATAAAGAGGTCATATTGGTTAAACTGATTTACAAATTTTGATTAATATTTCTTGATTTAATAAGAAGGCATTTTCCTTTGTTATTATTGATTACTCTGATTAGTTCTTTCCTTTGATTTATTGTGATAGCAAGGAAAAATATGGCAATTAGCTAACAAACTATACTAGAGGCAAAAGAAAAGAGTATAATTTACTTCATTTTAAGTAGTTATCAAGAAGGCTGTACACATTTAAAAAACAAACAAGCCAGAAGTATTTCATTTAAAAATTAAACCAACTAGAAGAAATGGTCAGATTTTTTAGAAGTTTTTAAGAAGTTTTCTCATTGGAATGAAGGATACAATAGTTTGATATTGTATAGCATTGATTTGTGTCACTAGTCTAGACACAGGGTAGCATATGTTTTATAAAAACCTAAACCTGTTCTAAAGATGACGACTCACCAAATAAATCCTCTTGTGATGGTGGGGGTGCAAGCTCATTGAGAGGAAGTGGAGTCGGAGCTAGAGTGTTGTGGCTGTCACTTGCAGCCAGCTTGCCATTCTAATGAAGTATAAAAAAAAATCAAAAGCTAAACTTATTGACCAAATTTGTATCATGTATAATTTCTTCAAATATTTGATTTACTCATGAACCACACAAGAGCTCCACATATTATTATTATGACTGCTTATGTCTAGCTCCTATAGGGTGCTCACTGCTCCAGCTCAATCTCTTTTGTGAACATATGGAGGGAGGGGGGGAGGGGGGACAATGTTTCCATTCTGACTTTAGCTGCTCTGCAAACCCAGTTCAGCTTGAGTCTACATGGAGATTTGAGTTTGAGACCACTTGCTTAGGTAAACATGCCAGACATCTTACAACAAACACATAAAGTTAAGTCTTAATTATTTTTTCTAGTCATTTATGTAAATTGGTTAAGTGATAAAGACAAATGTCAAAATCATAATGGATGGAAATTACAGACAATTTTTATGAAAGTTTAGTGTCCAGACAGAGAAGAGAAACCATATAAAATTTGTCTAAGTGGAAGTAAGAGATTCTTCCTTCTTCTTTGTAATTGTCCAAAGAGTTGAGTCTAAGACTCTTGGAACTCTAGGACTATGGAAGGTTGCCTCCATCTGCCTGTCTGAACAAAATTCTGTCTGGGAAAGATCCAAGCTGAAGTAAATTATTACATGCCTATTAATGCTGGCTCATATTCCAGGAGGCTTGGATTAGAAGCATGGTCAAGAGCCCATGTTCATTCTCTGTACCACATCAGCCATTAAGATGTCCACCATAAAAAATGGTAAGTGGATACTGGATAATAACATGTTTTTTTTTCATCCCCACCAGTGCAATGGATTTGGTACTTAGGCAACCTAACAGGTTTCTTTTTAGCTTCCCTATAGCCCTACTCATCTCCTCTAACGACAGTTTCCAGCTGAGCACCATGGCGAGGCTGAGAAGCATTGCCACGGCAAGTGGGAGATGAAACAGGTCAATACATTCCATAAAAAAGTATATAAACACCAAATAATCAAGTTGCCATCTTATGCTTTCACATTCAACCAGACAGCCAGTTAGCCTCCAGAAAGAGAGTTGAACTTGGATAAGTAATAAATTCAGATATATATTGTATTGCTGCAAATATCACATCATTTAAATATTTACCATTCATACTATATACAATCTTATGAGATGTGTTTAAGTAACAACTTAATTGGTTATGACCTTTTTTGACAATTTAAAAAGGAGAAAAGACTTACATCTCCCTCTGGCTTTGAAATAGCCAAAAGTTCAGGCTCTAATACATCAGTATCAAATTCATCAATCATATCTGTCAAACAAATGTCAACATTCTTATAATTAAATTTAAAATTTTAAAATATATTTTGAAAAGTCTACTGATCTAAGAAGTTAAAATTTGAAGAATGAAAGTGTAAGTTTCTGGCTTTTTTACACAGAGAAAAACTTCCAAGAAGCATGACAATTTAATCAGTCATTTGAAAATAATGCTATGTTACAAATACTGAACTATAAAATAAAAATAGATTCTATCAAAACTTTAAATGACATTCTCCTAAAAAAAACTAAAATTTAATCTACATTAAAAACCAACATATTTCAATGTACACAAAAACACAGCCAACTCAAAGAGAGAGCACTATTTCCATTTTCTTTTGGCCATGGTGGTGGTAGGTTGGGAATGTGGATAAAAAAGTAATTTACTTTAGTAAAAAGTTTTTTCCTTCTTTTTCCTTTATGAGAAAAACACTTTGTGAAAGGAACACTTGTACTCATTTTACAAATAATAAGTTTTACAATGGTTAGCATAAATAAAAGAAAAAAGTCTGTAATGAAATGGATACTTTCCTACAATAAAAAGCTCCTCAAAAGCTACCCTTCCAAGAATTTTCCAGATAGAAATTAACAATTATAAAACTAATTAATAAAATGAAAACAACCAAACACAAAAATTTAATAGTACCTATATAGTTTACAATTAACAATAAAAAAGGAGTTTACAATATTAATTACTTACATCTTTCTTCTGTTGCATTTGAATATTGTAAATTGAAATACATTATCAAAACAACTAGATAATGTTTTTCCTAATTAATATCCTAATTACATGGTAAAAGTGTAGTATCAAACTTCTTAAGGTTCATAGATTAGTCTAGTGTAAACCATAATTAAAAGATTCGAAGTCAAATACATCAGGAGGCCAACAATTCAAACATAAAGAAGCCAGGAAGCATTAA